CACTCCACACAGGCTGGAAAGACATCCAGAAGGGGTCCTGGGCTCCCTCGCCATGCAGGGGCTCAGCCTCACCAGCCAGTTGTCATCACCCATCCAGGCCCATTTCTCGTCTTATTGCTTTTGTTCATGTACTTTCCTCTTGGGTTGCTCTTCCTTTTCTCTCTGACCTGTCAAAAAGTCCCATTGTGGGCAACTTTTAAATGCCTCCTCTTCCATGAAACCCTTTTGGATGCCTCTCGGGGGGATGAGTTCTTTCCGTCCTAGCACTGCTGGCTGCATGGTCCAGGATCTGTGGGGCCTGTCTTCTTTACAATATTGCTGACTTCATGAATATGGGGGTGTATGAAGAGTGTGATGAAATTAGAGGGTATGTTCCGGAGTCAGACCGATCAGCATTGGGATGCTGGCCATGCTGCCTCCTTAGCTGGGTGACTTTAGGCAACTGACTGTACCATCCTGGAAGTCATCTGTAAGCTGCGCTGACCCCCCAACCACAGAATCCTTGTGTCCGCTGCAGGTGCTCTGTCAGCAGTGACGTCTCACTACCTGGCATCTTCTGAAATCACGAGCAGTTTGAAGAGTGAGCAAATACTGAGCAAAGCTCATAGAATTAAATACACACAGACCTGTGTAAGTTAACACCAAGCTAAGGGTTAAATACTTTCCCAAGATTCTCAGAGTGGTTGGTGGGTGAGGCGGGCTGTCGTGCCCTCTGGCTGCCTTGTCAAACTGGTACAGGGGCCATCTCCCACTACCTACTGACAAAGATTCTTTGCTTGACCCAATTACCCAATTTAATCGGACACCTAGGTCTTTTCCTAGGCCCATCTGTGCACTTTCTTGTAAAATCTAGTTTTAGCAAAAAACTCTGCTGAGTCAGTTTGGTAAGGACCACCCGCCCTCAATATCTTCCATATCTGATAGATAGGGTTCCTCATCTTCTACCACCTTCCAGAAGATGTCTGGTCACCCTGGCCTGCCTTTAGCAAGAATCTTGATAGGTTGGTTTAACCAGAATCCCCCTTACTCCTAATGTTGCCTGTCAGTAATTTTCTATCCTCCGACCCCCACCCTGCTCCTTCGCTGTGAATTTCCACTTGCTCAGGCTCTATCGAGTTGAGCCCTATCTTTCTCCTACACTGCAAAATCCCACTGCCACGGTCCCTACACCTATCACCATGGTCCTGAATTGTCTTCTTTACCATCTGCTCTGCTCTGCCGGAGCTTAGACCCAGGCAGCTGAGTTAAAAGTGTCATCAAATAGACCATCTTGTCCCTGAAAATTGGGACCTAAGCTCGATTCCGAGATTTAATCATGGCGGAGGAGTTTACTCTGCTAGCCGCCATCACTCCACCCTATCCCCCAGAGGGGTGCGGTGGGGAAGGGGGCGGCAACTGGTTGTTTCCAGTCTCCCATCTCTCTCTGGCCCTCCTCTGTCTGTGGCCTCCCTTCTCCCTTTGAAAGGGACACAGTGCTGCTCACAGCCTGGCCTGCTGCGGTGGCTGCAGAGAGGGGCCGAGAATAAGCCTGTGTCCGAGGCAGCCCTCCAAATACAGCAGGGCTGGGTTGACCTTTAAATAGACGGGCTCTGGGCCACTCAGTTCCTGGAAGTTTGAAGAAAGTCAGCCTTTCAAGTGATGCGACTTCCAACCTCAGGAAAGATCCCTGTGTTTGTAAAGGGTATAATTTACTGTTGCTTTTGCACTTCATGATATGTGGCTGCACAGCCAGTGGGAGCCAGCATGCCAGAATTAGGAGGGGAAAATCCTCAAGTATTTTAATATACCCCTACTTAGAAGCAAGATAAACATATGTATTGTACTTTGGGACAGAAGCAAGGGGGGCTTGGGGGTGGGAAAGGGAGAGTCCTGGCATTGCATGAAAAGTCTTTTTAAGCTGAGCTCTGAGGGTTTTCAGTTTTTTATTTTTCATTTTTCTGTTTTTTTTTTTTTTTTTTTTTTTTATTTGTAAGCAAAGCTGGCATGAGCAAATGATGCCAGGATCTACTCGGCTGTGTAAAAGCTGTAGTCCTTCCCCAGACAGGCAGACTGCTGGAACCCTCCCTAAGCCATAAACTACTACACCGTTTTGCCTCGCCCAATTAAAAATGATTGGGTGCGGGTTGTCATCACAGTTGACTTAGATGATTTACTTTCTTCCAGGAAATCTTCCTCCCAACTCTTGCTGTGCAATTAGGCAAAAGAAAAATAAATGTTAATACGTTCTATGCTCCCAGGGAAAATTTTTTAAAAGAAAAAAAAAATTAATAAAGATACATAATGTGAATGTGATCATGAGAAAATATCAGACCAACTCAAATTAAAGGATGTGCTTCAAAGTAACTACCTTATAATCTTCAGAAGTGTGGGGGTCTGCCGGGCGCAGTGGCTCACGCCTGTAATCCCAGCACTTTGAGAGGTCGAGGTGGGCAGATCACGAGGTCAGGAGATCAAGACTATCCTGGCTAACATGGTGAAACCCCGTCTCTACTAAAAATACAAAAAAAATTAGCAGGGCGTGGTGGCGGGCGCCTGTAGTCCCAGCTACTTGGGAGGCTGAGGCAGGTGAATGGTGTGAACCTGGGAGGTGGAGGTTGCAGTGAGCCGAGATCACGCCACTGCCCTCCAGCCTGGGGGACAGAGCAAGACTCCGTCTCAAAAACAAAACAAAACAAAACAAAACAAAACAAAACAAAACAAAAAAAGTGTCCAGGTCATGAGTGTCAGGGAAAGACTGAGGAATGGTTCCAACTGAAAGAGACTAAAGAGATATGACAATTAAATGCAAAACTTGATTCTGGACAATTGTTAAACCTTGGATGGCTGGGAGCATTAGATGTTAGTTACATATCTGTGTCAGCTTCCTGATGTTCCTATAGAATGTGGTCCTAAGGGAGAATGTCCTTGCTTCAGGAAAATACACATGGAAGTACTCTGTAGTGACAGGACATCAGGAGGTCCGCCACTCCCTCTCACATGCTGTAGGGGAAAAAGATTTGCTTTGTGTTCCCAACACGTTTGTGATTGTTTCACAAATAATAATAATTTAAAAAAACAACCTACGGTGAGGGGGGAATTATTATTATTTTTTTTGAGACAGAGTCTCACTCTGTTGCTCAGGCTGGAGTGCAGTGGCGTGGTCTCAGCTCATTACAACCTTTGCCTCCTGGGTTCAAGCGATTCTTGAGCCTCAGCCTCCCAATTAGCTGGGATTACAGGCGTGCGCCACTACGTCCAGCTAATTTTTTGTATTTTTAGTAGAGACGAAGTTTCACCATGTTGGCCAGGCTGGTCTCGAACCCCTGACCTCAAGTGATCCACCTCGGCCTCCCAAAGTGCTGGGATTACAGGCGTGAGTCATCATACCTGGCAGAAACCTTTTCAGTGGAGAATAAAATAAACCTGGGTTTGAATTCTGATCCTTTAAGTTTACTCAGGGTTTGACTTCAGTCAGGGAACATAACCTTTCTGTGTCTCAGTTTCCCTATTTTTCAAAACAAAGATGGTGTGTGTGTGCATGTTTGTGTGTGTGTGTGTGTGTGTGTGTGTGTATCTACGTCTATATGAGTTATGAATAGGAATGTAGGGGCCCCAGCAGGGTGTGTGAAGGTACCAGTTCCTGGGGCGTCAAGGGTTTTTCTTTCCCTTTGGACCCCCTCACTGACATGCCCAGGTCTGTCCATGTAGAGCAGTGGGTGGATGTATAGACTCCGCTGAGAACCCCCTTAGAGCATATTTCAGGTTCATCATGATGTCGTGGACTGTGACTCTGGGAATTTAATTGGAATGAATTTCAAGGTTTTGTTAAACTTGGCTAGAATCTTCCTATATCTCCAGCAAGAGCTTGATGGGGTTTTTGTTGTTGCTGTTGTTTTTGAGACAGGGTCTTGCTCTGTCACCCAAGCTGGCGTGCGGTGGTGCCATCACTGCAGCCTCAACTTCCCAGGCTTAAGGGATCCTTCCCTTCAGCGTTCCTAGCAGCTGGGACTGCAGGTGCGCTCCACCATGCCCAGCTAATTTTTGTATTTTTTTGTAGCGATGGGGTTTCACCATGTTATCCACCCTGGTCTCAAACTCCTGGGCTCAAGCCATCTGCCCACCTTAGCCTCCTAAAGTGCTGGGATTGCAGGTGTGAGTCACTGTGCCTGGCCAAGAACTTGGTGTTTCTTATTTCCAAGCTTATCTCCTCTGTTATTTGCTCCCAGGGAGACTCCTTTTCCATTTGTGTTTCCTGGATGCTGGGGGGAAGTGATTGCCCTGCCTCTCTCTTGCCCAGCCACCAAACCCAATGCAGACTCTACTGAATGCAGGCCCCACCCCTGTATTTTACTTATTTTGTTTCCTGTCTTGAAGGTGGGGGCACTATGTTTATCTCCAGGACCCTGACTGCCTCATCATTGAAAGCTTATTTTTGTGCAAACTATTGTTCTGAGCACTGTATGTGTATGATTCTGCTTCATCCTCTGTAACCCTAGGAGTCAGGTCAAATAGTATCATTTTAAAGACAAGGCAACTGAGGCACAGAGCAGCTGAACAGCTTGCTCAGTTCCCACAGCTGGAAAGTGGTGGAGCTGGAATCTGGATGGGTGCTGGCAGCCTGGCCTCAGAGTCGGGGCTAACCACTGAGCAGCACTGCCGCCCAACGGATGGGAGCCTGCAGGATGAGGCCATGGGAATTGATTTCACTCAGCGCGAGCCAACCAGAACTCCCGTCCAGACCTCTCTCCACCACCCTAATAAAGCCAGTGTTTACACAGGCTGGAGGTGCTCATCAGATGTTTTTGCCAATCCCCAAATACGGCCAGGGCCAGAAAGTGAGAGGGGTGCCTATTATGTAAGGTCCCGCGGCTGGTCCCCAGACAATGCCACTTCCTCGCTTGGCGCTGTGTGACTGCATAACAACGGGTTACTCATTTCCTCTGGAAAACTTGGCAGGGCCTCTTTGCCCCATTTCCTCCTCCCACCCCATCCTCAGGCTTCCTCTATTGAATTTTCTCCAGATTCCTGGGAACACCACAACGGAGGGCCTGGCCTTTGGCGGTGGACAGTCTGTGGCTGGGAGGGAATGTCAGGAGTGGGGCCTGCCTCTTTGCACTTGCCTGGTGCCAGCACTCAAGGCAGGTGAGGCCCAGCCATGGGTATAAGGCGCTGCCGGGGCGGGGTTGGCCTTAAGGAGACAGGGGGTCCATGTTTCTGCTCCTCTTCCATTACTAACAGGTGTCTGCTTTAGGTATGATCTCCTTCCCTTCTGCCCCTCTCCTGGTAAAGGGATGAATAATGACGGCTTTCCCTGGGAAGTCTGAGATGGATTATCCCAAGGAGGCTTGAACATTGGAGGGCATGCGCATGAGTTTTCTTTCTATCCTGTCTGCAGGACTTCGCAGGTGAGCAGTAAGGGAAATCAGCCTCGTTTACTCCTCCCAGCACCTGCTTTATCCAACTCCCCGCTCTGTGGCTGAGTCCCAGCCTGCTATGGGTGCGTCACTGGACTCCCAGTGAACTCGGTGTGGATTCGCTGTTCGTAGACA